AAAGATTAAATAACATGATAAAGTGAAACACTGTGTGACACTCCTTCCCACCCAAACCTACCCCCAAAAATGGTGTGTCTGTGGGAGGGAGAGGATGAGGGAGTGTGTGTGTGTGTGGTGAAGTTGGGGGTGGGAGGGGGGGTTACACTGATATGACTCTATAATTCTGGCATTGGTTTCATTTTAACCATAAAATCTCCATGTAATATACATGTAGAATGTCACCCAGTACACAGTGTAGATTTACTGAACACCTGCTATAGAAATACACAACAGACAGAGCTGTGTTAATATCAATGGTGTCTATATCTCACTGTCAGTACTGTACAAAATGTTTGTAGCCACTGTGATTAAACTTTGTTTTAACACATTGAATGACGTATTCAAAGTATATATTATCTGAGCCGTTCCAAGCAAAAACCCCCCTTATGCAATCTGACAGAATTTTACGTCACAGTAGAAAAAGCGACGTCATAGTTTTGCAACAAAAACTGCGATCAAAATATATCGCGCACTGACTGCGTTCCAACTTCTTGCTTTGCTTTACGTCACATATTTTTCCCCGTTGTGCTTTTTTCATATTTTTTTTCATGGTTTTTTCTATTTCATAACATATCTGGCTCTGATTGTTGTCAAACTCCATGTGCATTACACATTCAAACGGCCTAAGAGTGTCCTGATTAAATACAAATAATTTGTCAACACTTCCACGATTATTCAGTTCCATGTACAATATAAGTTTTCTGTTAAACTAAATTAAACATAAAATTGTTGTTTAAATTCAGATTTATGACTCTTTCTTATTCAACAACGACAAAAAAATATAATTACATGTACGTGCAATGTTGATATTGAGTGTAAAAATATTTTTTTTTAAAAATAAGGAGGAGGAGTTTGAAATCTTTTTTTTAATCTGAAGTCTTGGCGAAAATTAATTGGACTTAATCACATGTCAAGAAAAATGTACAGGAATTTATCACCAATCAAAACTGAATGACAGAATTGTTAAACACACCAATGCCAGATCTAATTAAAATCCAGGGTATTTTTTTATTGTAGACCCAGAACCTCTTGGACGAAAAGTGACACTAGTTTTGCTAATAAAGCAACATTAACTGAATAGTTGTTTATCCGACATTCTCCTTTTTGTTATGTGTTTAAAAGATCGATTACTTGTTAATACTGTTGTAAACCCCCACCATCACCACCAAATTTTTTTAAATAATATATGTCATAAAGCATATATAGAAATAAATTCATACATGTATATCTTTAAAATAAAAAAATCATTCATGCATGCTATTATTAACAGTGAAAATATAAATTCAGAAAAAAAATGTGGTGAGGGGCCCCATGCAACCCCCAGATTTTTTTTATGTGCATGATTTTATATATAATCACAATATTTGTTTACCTAAGTGTAAATTAATCGAATGCAATTAAAATACATTTCCAAAATATTTTAATCAGTTTGGATTTTTCCCGGTCTACATTTTGTCTAAGATAGCCAGAAGTAATGTTCGTAATTTTCACCAGGATGATCACATGCAGGAGAACATAACCTGATTTTTTCTAAAATGCTAGATCTTGGAAAATCATAGAGCTATGAGTATATATAATATTATAAACACTTTTGTCGAATGATTTGAAAAACGTTCTGACATGATTTTTTTTAACCTATGTGAACGGGAAAACACTTTTAGTGGACCTGTACTAAGACAAACCTTTGACGTTGTAGATGCAAATGTGAAAAAAAATAATAAATTGAGAAATACCGTATAAGTAGAAATTTTAGCGAAGATTTAATTTTGGCATTATTAGCGAGGCTGTTGAGATCGCTAAAATTGAATATCGCTAAAAATAAATTGCATGTTATTTGTACTAGCTTCTTTAGTGAGCATTTTAAAATCGCTAAAATTACTTCTCGCTAAAAATAAAATACCAGTTTTTAAGGAGAAATCGCTAAATTTGCGTCTCGCTAAAATTTCCACTTATACGGTAATTGTGAAGTTGAGAAGGGATTGAGATTCCCTCAATGAGACAAAAAATGATGGAACCGGTTGTATAAAAATGCAATTTTTAATTTGCTGTTCAATTTATTATTCTTAAACAACGTTTGTAATGATACAGAATTTCAGTTAAAAGTGCTTAATGAAAGATATGTGTGAAAAAAATCATTAATGATGTTGATACCACAAAGTATGCATTGAGCGGTCACCCATCCAAGGCTTAACCAGGCTGGCCGTTGCATAACTTGCCTGAAATAGAGCGGGACTACCACATCACTAGAAAAGCAATCACACTATAGCGAGGCAGTACAAGTCCCCTATATACTGTCCGCTATACAGATGTTAAACATAAAAGTCGGAAATATCTTGCATAAAAAGGTTTGTAGATAACTTGTCATCTTTTATCCTTAGCAGTGAAACTAAAGGTGGTGACCCTTTCTCAATGTTTAAATTTAAATACAGATGTAAATTGAATGTTTATATGTTGGTAAACGTCCTTCTCGAGATTTTTCAAAACTCATATGGAGACGCCACCACTTGCCGGTGGAGAGCTGCAAATAATGTCCTATACATGTAACAGGCACTCAGGGCCATTGAGCAGTGAGGGATCTTTTTCGTGCCAGCACTAACTGCCACACGGGGCCGCGGTTTATACAGACTCATCCGAAGGACCGGTTTACATGTAAACTTAATTAGAAGACTAACACAAAAGTAACCTACTCACCCCCCCCCCCTTTCACAACACATGGACTTCTTGTAAGTTGGTAAGGATGGTCAGATATTTGAATATTTGATGTTAATGTAGTGACAGAGAATGGCCAGCATTCCTCCCCCTTCTGCACACAATGGAACTTCTGTGCATGTGTGTAAAATGTTGGGTAGACTAGGATAGAATATATTTTACTAATATATGAGAAGCATTTTATTCAAAGACAGTCCAATGTGCAGATTTCGCACGTAAAACATGTTCTCTTTTCTGTCAAATTTCTTTGTGTTTTTTTTTATGAAGACGGTAAACAAATGTTGTAGATTTGTGTCTATATGGTTTAAGTACTTTAAAAGCTGCTCTAAATACTAAGTAGACACCTAACTAACGTTTTTCTTTATCTCAATTTTTTTTTCGATTTTGACTAACTGGTACATTTTCAGAGGACCTTCATGATAAGTGTTGACCTGTGAAACTTGCCTCATGACAACCTTTTTTTTAAAACTGTGACATGCATGCGTTTTTATAATTAAGATCGGATCGCATATTGAGAAGGTATAACCTTCACTTTCATAGATCAATGCGTAAAGCACAAGAGGATCGACTCTCAGATATAGATGGGGCTGTACCACGGTTCTCCATGAGCTGTTTTACTGTGTTGATCCCGACAGAGTAAAATTTTCTACGACACAGTAACGATTCAAATTTCATGCATGCCTGGCTGTATGTTTGACAATCTTTTCTATATCAATTGTATAGTAGACAATTCTTTAAAAAGCTAAATCATATGCCTTACTCTTTTTATCTCAGTTTTTCAGGTCTTGTTTTTGTTAGTTATTTCATAATTTGAAATCTGGAAAGTACACATTCACTATTCATCAATTACAGAGTTAACATGTACATGTATATATCTAGTCTACATTGCCTTTATACTAGTACTTATATATTTATTCTTTCATTGCCCCCCTCTTTTCCTTCTGATTCTTTTAACAAATGAGGAAATAATTAAGCAAAGAAAATGCAAATGCAGTTGAGCATTTAAAATAGGATAAATGGAACTCATCATTTACATTGATATACCATACTTTGCAAAATCCTTATGTTGTGTTCATTGATAAAAGCGCAAGCCCCTGCCCCTTAATGCTTCTCTTGGTCAGTGTTTTGAAGGCAAAGGTTGAAGAAGTAAAATTGGTCATAAAAAATAAATAAATGGGATATAAAATATTTTTTTGTTGTTGCTGGTTTTGAAAGATTTCGGCTGAACTTAAGCGGTAAAATTGAAAGTGAATTTTTCTTAGTAAAAGACCTATCAATTATGTGTGATGAATTCAGCGAATCATGGGACTATTTAAACTCGATTGACATATCTTTAAATAATTAATATCAGAAAAGACTGAACTGAAGGTTTTTTATTAATGAAAAAAAAAATGTTTACAAGAAATTAAGCATATATGTATTAGTCAGAACGGCAACACAATACCAAGTTATTGCATGTAAGTAATTCGTGTTTTTATTACGTTGCCATATATAACGTCGACGTCGCTACAAGAGAGAATTTATAAAATTTGACGTCAGCCGTATAAATGATGCATACTTTGAATACCTGTATATCCGTAACGGAGCAAGATACACCTGTAATAATTACAGGTTATATTTACCTAAGGTTCTACATCATTTTCCAAGAAAAAAGTCATTTTCGACAATTTTTGCCATAAGGGGGGTTTTGCTTGGAATGGCTCATCTAATGATAAGGTCTATGAAATTTACCCCCCCCCCCCCCTCCAACACTCATGAACCCAATTGTACAATTATTTTTCCATTTCCTGACATTTGTAGTGATCTATAAATTTAATCTACAAACCATTTAGCAGAGGAATATAAAAATATCATGTCAACCCAAATAGAAGACAGAATCAATGAGAGTTATTTAACCAAGTTAACAAATCATTAGACAATCTGTACAAAATCAGGAATTGTTTGTCACAGACAACAAAGTTAACAACTAAGTACACATTAAAATAACTCTAACATGTCTAATTAAATCTAATATGAAGATCAAATCATTATTAATTTGACAACTTATCAATTAATATCCTTTTTTTAAAAAACATTTCTTGTTACATAACACAAGTTAGAATTCAATTAACCATGTAATGTATTTACGCTTAAAAGTTATCACTATGATAATTCCGTAATGTCTTATAATTAACTACAAAACAGTGACTACAATATATATTGTACACACTAAACATTGTAAACAAACATTATACTTTAGTATGACTTACCAGTCAGATTATCCCCTCCATAGATAAGTCTGTAGATGTTCACTGTGTTGTGGAGGTCTGATCCTACCCAGACAGAGTGGGTGTTGTCATCATAACTCAGGCCGAATGGTCTGTCTATCCCGTGTTGTTCTGTATCAATCTCTGTCAGATAGTTACCGTCTTTATCAATGATATGTACTGTGTTGGTGTTATGATCACACACCAGGATGTGTGACAGCGCGTCAGTACAGATTCCACGTGGTCGTAGTTCTGATCCTGATGGAGGACCTCTGTAGGAGAATCGATGTCTCCCTCTATTGTCTGTCACCACTACAGCATAACGGCCAGAGTCAGACACAATAACATCTCCATTGCGGTTCTCTGTGATGTATCTAGGATCACTATACAGTCTCTGACCTGTGTTGTCGTGCTGTATGGTCTGTATGTGTTTACCTGTGTTAGTGTAACGGTTTACCTGGCCTGTCCTTGGATCAGTTTTATACATCCCGACCAGCAGGTCTCCAGTGGAGGGGGAGCTGTAGACACTCCGTGGTATCCATGGTGATGTGTAGGGTATCAGTGTGGTATTTTCTTTATCTTTAGATCGTTTTATGATGTTACGGTCACTGTCTATATAAATCACAGCACCATTTTGAGTCACAGTATGTACTCCATCAACATATGTAGCTAAACCTGTCACTTTATCTAGTGTGTCTCCTCTCGTGTTTGTTAAGATGAGATTGCCTTTATCATCACTGATCCAGACCCGGTCTGTTGACACACGGGTAATGTGTTTACACTCCCTAACTCCAGACACGGTGACAGATTTCTGTAATACTGCTGTATACATCACTGACACCAGATTTCTTTTTCCTGTGACTTTATAATCCTGTGTGGATTTCAGTCAGGGAGATCTCTCTGTAAATTACAACACTGTTCTAGAATTATCTACATCAGGAACACATCTCTGTTTATAAATAACAAATGTACTCATTGTAAAATGTTTGGGTTGTAAGTACTTATACTGTGTTAAACAATTAAATAGAATTACCAGATAAACATAAATACCTTGACACTGGCTTCTCAATGCTTTGTCTCTATTCATAGCAGTCTCCAAGTGTTCTCAATTAAACCTGTCTAACAAAGCAATATCTATAATTAAAACACATATAAATTGTGAAAAACTGTTCAGATTCTTATAGATGTTAACATAAAATCATTTAAAACCTGACATTCAATAACATTGTATTTACAATTAAGTGTGTAAACTTTGTAATTTACAGAAGAAAAATCATGATAAAATCTGCATTCCTACCATTACTAATTCATAGTTATTACAATAAAGTGTTAGATAGGAAAGTTCTACAGTAACTACAAGACTCTATAGATTGGCATCATTACTGTATATTGTAACACAGTTATAACAAGAGGCCCGTGGGCCACATCGCTCACCTGAGCACTATGGCTAGAAAATAAAAGCAGAAATCACTTCAGTATTGAGTAGTTTAGACGGGGGGTCTGAAATTTTAAACTACCAACTACCCGATGATGCTTTCATACAACAAATGCCTTTACTGTTTTTGAGCAGATGATTTTTCCCTATTTATTCATTTGACCCACCCCCCTCCCATTGTGGCCGAGGATGCCTCAATATCTACATGATTAAAAATTCCTTTTCTGTTCTTGGGGAAAAAAACCCTACCTACCCCCTACCTTACATTCATGACTTGATCATGAACAAACTTGAATCAATACTACGTAAGAACTCTTACATAAAGATGTGACCAATCCTGGCTTTATAGTTCTTAAAAAGAAGAGTTTTAAAAAATTGAATTTTCCAATGTATTCATTCCTACATAAAACTTTAATTGTCAATTGTGGCCTCGCCCTATCCCTGGGGGTCATCATTTGAACAAACTTGAATCTACACTACCTGAGAATGCTTTCACTTTGATCAGCCATTGTGGCCCCGCCCTACCCCCGGGGGTCATCATTTGAACAAATATGAATCTACACTCCATGAGGATGCTTCAACATGAGTTTCATCTTTCCTTCCACAATGGTTTTGGAAAAGAAGATTTTAAAAAATATGCATTTCATTTTTCGCTAATTTATAATTATTCTCCCCTTGGAAGAGGGCTTGGCCTTTCATTTGAAAAAATTTGAATACCCTTCATCCAAGGATGCTTTGTAGCAAGTTTGGTTGAAATTGGCCCAGTGGTTCTTCAGAGGAAGTCAAAAATGTGAAAAGTTAACAGACAGAAGGACGCTGGACAAAATGTGATCAGAAAAGCTCACTTAGGCCTTTGGCTCAGGTGAGCTAAAAAACTAAATTTAGGCATTAGTCAAACCTGTCAAAATGGTGATTTCTTCCTCTTCTTTAGCTTTACATAGTAAAACAGCACATCCTGGGAGACCTGTCAAAATCAACACAGTACAATGAGTAAATATTTCTGTATAGCTTCAATGTCTTGAAAGACAAATGTTATTGTATGATATATTTTAGATTATTCATGGAGATGTAGACCTGAATTTTGTCAATTCTTTAAAAATTAAACAAGAGGCCCATGGGCCACAGCGCTCACCTGAGACCTATGGCTAGGAAATAAAAGAAGAAATCACTTCAGTATTGAGTAGTTTAGACGGGGGGATCTGAAATTTTAAACTACCAAATACCCAATGATGCTTCCATACAACAAATGCCTTTACTGTTTTTGAGGAGATGATTTTTCCATATTTATTCATTTGACCCCCCCTCCCACTGTGGCGCAGCCCTAACCATTTGAACCAGTATGACTTTGTACTACCTGAGGATGCCTCCAAATTTAGATGATTAAACATTGCCTTTATGTTCTTAGGAAAAAAATTTCCAATAGTCCCCCACCCTACCTACCCCCTACTTCACATAAATGACTTCAACAAACTTGAATCAACACTAAGTACATAAAGATATGACCAATCATGCCTTTATAGTTCTTAAAAAGAAGAGTTTTAAAAAATTTGATTCTCCAATGTATTCATTCCGATGTAAAACTTTAATCGTCAATTGTGGCCTCACCCTACACCTGGGGGTCATGATTTGAACAAACTTGAATCTACAGTACCTGAGGATGCTATCACTTTGATCAGTCATTGTGGCCATGCCCTACCCCCGGGGGTCATCATTTGAACAAACTTGAGTCTACACTACATGAGGATGTTTCACAATGAGTTTCCTGGCACAATGGTTTTGGAGAAGAAGATTTTCAAAAGATGCAATTAATTTTTCACTAATTCATAATTATCTCCCCTTGGAAGAGGGCTTGGCCTTTCATTTGAACAAATTTGAACAAATACTTTTCATCCAAGGATGCTTTGTATCAAGTTTTGTTGAAATTGGCCCAGGGGTCCTTGAGAAGAAGTCAAAAATGTGAAAAGTTAACAGACAGACGGACGACGGGCAAAATGTGATCAGAAAAGCTCACGAGCCTTCGGCTCATGTGAGCTAAAAACCTAATTTAGGCATTAGCTAAACCTGTTAAAATGGTGATTTCTTTCTTTTCTTTAGCTTTACATACTTCAACAGCACATCCTGGGAGACCTGTCAAAATCAACACAGTACAATGAGTATATATTTCTGTATAGCTTCAATGTCTTAAAACACTAATGTTGAATGATATATTTTAGATTACTTATGGAAATGTAGACCTGGAATTTGTCAAGTCTTTAAAATACCAACCCCTTATATTAAACAAGAGGCCCATGGGCCACATCGCTCACCTGAGCACTATAGCCAGGGAAAACAAGAGACCCATGGGCCACATCGCTCACCTGAGCACTAAAGGTAGGATAAAGTAGAAAATGGCTTTTATTGTAAAATTTAAATCCAAAAGTAGTCCCATGACCAATAATGGATTTGCCATTTTTTAGAGAATGATTTTTTAAAGAATTTTCCTATATATATCATTAAAAAAACTTTGGTCGGATATTTTGGCCCGCCCTACCCCTAGGGGTCATGATTTGAACAAATTTGAATCTACACTACTTGAGCATGTTTCCATATAAATATGATGAATTATAGCTTTGTCATACTTGAGAATAAGATGTTTAAAGAATTTTCCTATATATATCTATGTAAAACTTTGGTCGGCCATTTTGGCCCCACCCTACCCCGGGGGGTCATGATTTGAACAAACTTGAATCTACACTACCTGAGCATGTTTCCATTTAAATATGATGAATTATGGCTTTGTCATTCTTGAGAAGAAGATTTTTAAAGAATTTTCCTATATATTTCTTTGTAAAATTTTGGTCAGCCATTTTGGCCCCGCCCTATCCCCGGGGGTCATGATTTGAACAAACTTGAATTGACACTACCTGAGCATGCTTCCATATAAATATGATCAATTATGGCTTTGTTTTCCTTGAGAAGAAGATTTTTTAAGAATTTTCCTATATATTTCTATGTAAAACTTTGGTCGGCCATTGTGGCCCTGCCATACCCCTGGGGATCATGATTTGAACAAACTTGAATTTACACTACCTGAGCATGCTTCCATATAAGTTTCATCTTTCCTGGCACAGTGGTTCTTGAGGAGAAGATTTTTAAAGTATTTTACTATATATTTCTATGTAAAACTTTGGTTGGCCATTGTTGCCCCACCCTACCCCCGGGGGTCATGATTTGAACAAATTTGAATCTACACTACCTGAGCATGCTTCCATGTAAGTTTCATCCTTCCTGGCCCAGTGGTTCTTGAGAAGAAGATTGTTAAAAAATTTTCTTATATATTTCTATGTAAAACTTTGGTCGGCCATTGTGGCCCCGCCCTACCCCCGGGGGTCATGATTTGAACAAACTTGAATTTACACTACCTGAGGATGCTTCCATATAATTTTCGGCTTTCCTGGCACAGTGGTTCTTGAGAAGAAGATTTTTAAAACATGCCACCAAATTTTTATTAATTCATAATTATCTCCCCTTGAATGAGGGCGTGGCCCTTCATTTGAACTAACTTGAATCCCCTTTACCCAAGGATGCTTTGTGGCAAGTTTGGTTGAAATTGGCCCAGCGGTTCTTGAGAAGAAGTCGAAAATGTGAAAAGTTTACAGACAGACAGACAGACAGACAGACGGACGGACAGACGGACGGACAGACGGACTACAGACAAAATGTGATCAGAAAAGCTCACTTGAGCCTTCGGCTCAGGTGAGCTAAAAAGCAGAAATCACTCAGTATTAAGTAGTTTAGATGGGGGGATCTGAAATTCTAAACTACCAACTACCCGATGATGCTTCAATACAACAAATGCAATTTTTCTGTTTTTGAGCAGATGATTTTTCCCTTTTTATTCATTTGACCCCCCCCCCTCCCATTGTGGCCCAGTCCTAACCATGGTAGCCCTCATTTGAACCAGGATGACTTTGTACTGTCTGAGGATACCTCCATATCTTTATGATTAAACATTGCATTTCTGTTCTTGGGAAAAAAAAATTCCTTGATACTTATAAATTTCCAATTGTGGCCCACCCTACCTACCCCCTACTTCACATAAATGACTGAAACAAACTTGAATCAACACTATGTAAGGATGCTTACATAAAGATATGACCAATCATGGCTTTATTGTTCTTAAAAAGGAGAGTTTTAAAAAATTTGATTTTCCAATGTATTTATTCCTATGTAAACCTTTAATCGTCAATTGTGGCCTCGCCCTACCCCCGGGGGTCATGATTTGAACAAACTTGAATCTACTCTACCTGAGGATGCCTCAACATGAGTTTCATCTTTCCTGGCCCAAGGGCTTTTGCGAAGAAGATTTTTAAAAGATGCAATTAATTTTTCGCTTATTCATAATTATCTCCCCTTGGAAGAGTGCTTGGCCTTTCATCTGAACAAATTTGAATCCCCTTCATCCAAGGATACTGAGTGCCAAGTTTGGTTGAAATTGGCCTTGTGGTTCTTCAGAAGAAGTCAAAAATGTGAATAGTTAACAGACAGATGGATGCCAGACAAAATGTGATCAGAAAAGCTCACTTGAGCCTTCGGCTCAGGTGAGCTAAAAAACTAAATTTAGGCATTAGTTAAACCTGTCAAAATGGTGATTTCTTCCTCTTCTTTAGCTTTAGATAGTTAAACAGCACATCCTGGGAGACCTGTCAAAATAAACTCAGTACAATGAGTAAATATTTCTGTATAGCTTCAATGTCTTGAAAACTAATGTTTTTGAATGATATATTTTAGATTACTCATGGAAATGTAGACCTGGATTTTGTCAAGTCTTTAAAATACCAACCCCTTATATTAAACAAGAGGCCCATGGGCCACATCGCTCACCTGAGCACTATAGCTAGGAAAAACAAGAGGCCCAGGGGCCACAGCGCTCACCTGGGCATATAGGCTAGGAAAAAGCACATATTAGATCAGAACTGAAAGTTTACCGAGGTGGTGGTGGGGGGGGGGGTTTGAATCTAAACCCCCAAGGGGATCATATGTTTGAATGAACAAGAATCTAACGTGCGAGTACCCATTATTGCCGAAAAATACCACATTTTTCTTTGTCACATCCAAAATATAAATTTTATAAAAATAATTTCTTTATGTATCTCTGCAATGTTCATCCAATTAACATGAGATATATTTTTCATTTGAAACAAGTCCATCTCGACTTACTTTCAGGCTAAAAATAAACCCCGTCCATGACCTTTGATAAACAGGAAGTAGAGTACCCATTATTGCCGCTTATATCTTTTCCTCCTTATTCACCAAATAATCGCAAAATAAACCAACCATTTTTAAATCCATGACAATAATAGACAGAAAAATGTCTTAAATATAAAATTATGCAATTAGAAACGCAATTTTAATGTTTTATTTTAATTTTGTTCACCTATTTTTTTTTCGATGTTGCTACGACCTCGTGCGCAAAAATAAATATGTGCTTTGCAGATCAGAGGAGTTGGCAGTTTTATCAATAAACCAATGTAAACATAACCTATGAGTATGAGCTTCGCGAGCGTAGCGAGCGATCGCTTCGCTCGCTACGCTCGCGAAGCTCATAGGTTATGTTTACACTGGTTTATTAATAAAACTGCCGACTCCTGTGTGCAGATTTATCGGAACTGACAATAACAGAAACGCTATTTTTCCAAGTAGACGCAGTATTATGAAAGATAAGAGAAAGAGAAGTATAAGCCTCGATGGCTGCAGAGCTTTGGCAAACACTTTTAAACCAGTTTTTGCGTATACTTTTGCTTGTGAACCAGCCTTCAAATATTCCTTCCAATTTGATGGGAGGAGCTCCGTGTTAAAGCAGAGAGGCTTGAGCCCCACGGCGTACTTCCACATCGATGGCAGTAAATGGATGTCATTGGTCAGTGTCATCTTGATATTTTTTTAATAAAATGAAGTATTGATAATGTATTGATAACGAAAAAATCCCAGCCCAGCCCCCACCCACCTGCACCTGATATAATGCACCCGAACTGCAAGTTTGGAGGTTTTGTATTGTGGTGTCACTTCTTCAGCAAGGCTATGTTACTTGGATGTTTTTTCTTATAATAATAACTAATATAGAATGTTGAATTATGTATAATTTTTAATATTTTTATGAAACAAATCACTTAAACCTCTCCCCCATCCCAGCCATTATGCAAAAACTGCATGCAATGAAGGAAATCTTGAAGAAACTATCAACCTTGAAGAAAATTAACTTGGCAACTGAGAGTCACATTTATGTGGAATCAACGAAAGTATAATTATTTACTTTATATGTGTTCAAGAATTTATCATGATTCTTTACATTTGTTGAAGGTCCTTTTCATGTGAATTCAGAAGTTTTTGGAATAAGACCATTGTCATAAGACTAGTTGGTGCTTTCCCGCACAAGATGGCAAAGTATTTTGTGACTGTCAAGAGGAGCTTCTTTGAGGAAGATGAGAGATGTGCAAAGGTATAACGGTACCATTTAAAAAATAATTATGACATCCTGTGTTTTCGGCCAATATCACTTGCCATGAGTCCTTATAACCACATATTGACCTTTATGAAGTGTATAATTGTATATTTTGACACAATAGCGGTGTTTTTCTTTGAAGTTTACTGTTCTGTATAAGCAATACAGAACGGGACTGTGGTGGGCGGAGCTACTTTCCGTTCTGTATTAGCCCTGTATACTGTCTTGTATTAGCCAACTATTCTGTATCTATAATACAGCATGATCTAAAAATAAATCTGATTCAATTTATCAAAAGCGGGTACAAATAGTAAATGCTGATGTTTTCCGCAAAATTTCACGATCACTTTTAAAAACGTATTCTACACAGAATCTACACGTAATTTCGATCCAAACGAAAAGGAAAATTTGCAATAACGGAAAACATCCACTCTCCTCGTGCAAAATCGTTCAAGTCCAATTTTTTTTGTTTTTTTATTTTAAATATCATTGTAAATCGCTGACGACAGCCACACATCTCTGACTTCATTTTTAATGTCGCAATTCAATTAGAAAATAAAAATTTGTGACATCAAAGTCCATCGAAGAGTTTTCTGTATATCCCTTATTTGTAAATCTAGTTAAACCGGGATTTTAAGAGGGCTGAAATATATTATGATTAATCTCAAACTACAACAAACCACAACAATTTCAGGTTAAATCCGAAACCTTATCCAAGACTGACTAACACTCATTACGTCTAGCTCATTAAATTGTCAAAACTAATCTGACCGAATCTTACATATTCCATGGAAGTATATATACTGTGGATGGGTACTACTTGACGGGGCATCATCTACAGAACTCTGGCACAAGTTTGGATGCTGCACAGTTAAAAAGTGGGCTGAGCTATTTTTCTTTGATTGTGTCACAAATCATTTAGAGAACTCCACAGGTTCTGTATCGTAGATAAATATTTGGGGTTGGAGGCTGTGCTAGGCACTCGTCCACCCCCAAATTTGTATCTACAGTACAGAACGTGTCTTGTTCTCTAAATACATGAAATAGATATTAACTCGGAAAGGTTCTATGAATCTGTCAAGTAGTAGATTTTTATTTTCTGTTACAATTGTATTTGAAGATATTTAAAGTTCTTTACAACTAATCTTCAGTATGTACTATTAATGTTCGAAATATTTTAGAAATAAAAATTGGAATTAACTTTAATCATTAATCAAATAAAAATAATTCATTTGTTTGTTGATTTATTTTGGATTTCTCTTCTATATACCAAATTTGTTCTTTTTTTTAGGCACATATCGAGCACTTGTCCTCACTTTGCCTGGCCAATGACCAAATAAATGGTTGACTACAGTATCTGAAGATTTTTTAAGGAGTTGAATGTCATACAGACTTCTGCCTATGGCTGCTAAATCAAAGCTTTACAGTTTTATGTGAAGAATTAAAAAAAATATATAGGAGTATGTAAAGACATGTTGTAACTGTAAATGGAAGTAACTTTTCTCTATTTTCATCTAGATTGAAAAATGTTTCCATAAATGTATATACTGAGTAGTCAAAAAAGTTTCAAATGTAAACTGTACATCTAAAAGTTTAAGGCCATGTGATTAAAATCATTTTAATCCTAAAATTGTGAAAAGAATGTGTCCATTGTACATAAAAATAAGGCTGTCATTTTCAATAGTTATCTAAGGAATAACTGTCAAGTTAGAAGAGTATACCAGGGCATCAACGATAGTTGAAATTGCAGGATAATTTGCATAACAATTGTAGCTAACTAACTAGACAGTGATTCCTTATATTTCCTTTTCATTGTGAAATAAAATTGTAAATTTAGATTTTAAAAATATAAACAAATAGAATCAAATTACAGGAGGCCACCCGTGTCAATTTCAATAGTCCCCACCCATTGAGGTCAAGCACAAAGACAGCCGCACAAGATTTACATGCATATTGGATCTCCTTAGAATCAGACACAAAGGCAGATGCACAAGATGGAAATATTTAAATGTTAATACAAGCCTAAGGTACCTTATGATTGTTGTTTTACATATATACAAGTATCATTTTGCAATGCTTGATACAGAATTTGGATTTATATGCATTTACTATCTATGTCAATTCAACAAAAAATATTTTCATGTTCTAAAAAGATATGAGTTGAATTGAATATTTTCTGTTACACACATGTATGTTGATGTAGCTTGTAAATGAAACACTTCTAGCATGTGTTTGTTTCCTTGTCTTTTCTGTAAGTACTAAGAAAAAAAATGTTTTTGAACTATAATTACATTCCACTTATTAAATTAAGCTCAGTAAATAGAATTTTTATATCTATCATAAGCCATAAAATATTTAAAAACATGTATTTCAAATTCTTCTGCATTCTACACAGGGAATCTTCAGTTGAAAATGTATCCCACCTTCTTTAATATTAAATAAAAAAAAAAACCATTAATTCCATTGAGAAAAAATAGATTGCAATGGTAATCTAATTTTTTGGTTTGGTATTATTTTTGTCTATGCCTTCCATCTTTTAAATTCTAAATTGACAGATCACCAGAGAAATGTGTAAGATATCATGTACCAGAAATTAAATGTTTTATGATCTATGAAGTATACAATATATTTGGCAATGCATGTTTTTTTTTTAAATTTATTTTAGTAAACAATTTATTTCCCCTTCAGAAGCAGACTGTTAGATAAAAATTGCATTTTTTACATTTGATATCCAGGTATTACTAATTTTACAAACTGCATGCAAACAATATTTTGACTTTGATTAACTTTAATTTTAAGGTACTCTCTATACCATTGGGGTGGGTATTACCTATACATTGCTTCTTTTTCACAAGTCGCAAGATAAACAAAACAGCGCCAAAGCATTTTAATTTTCTAAAGTGTTTTTTGTTAAATTATAAACATGGAAATTTGTCAATCTATATGTATACGAGGGTTGTCCCATAAAATCGTGGACAAGTTGTCTAGTTTGTAAAATAATCATCACTGCGTTCTGAAATTTTCACCACTTTTTAGTAGATAAAATATGAATATACATAGCAAATTTCAAATAGATTTATGCATAGGTAAACAAATTGTGATAATTTATGTTATATACTGTATCGCCCTACGGCGCACGGATGATAACGTCAAAGTGTCTAAAACAGCGTCACGTTTCATCTTTGCTAAAATAAAAGTTGGATAAACCCCAATTAAATTTAGAAATTTTATTGATTTACATATGTGAGTATCTATAAACAGTTAAGAAACCGATGAAGCATATTCATGCGATCTTCTGAATATTTATAAGCAAGTTACAGACAGTATTCTCACCATCATTCAACTAAAAGAGAATCTCACATCGACGGTCGACAGTGACAGCGTCCTTTGCTATTGCAGTCTGTCCATATGTTTTATACTATCTGGGGACTCGACCAAAACGACTTCACTAAAAAACTTTCATTTCAATTAACTACTAAAGATCTGGTGATATTTTTCATATTTTCTTTCTTCTGTATTCATTTAAAGCCTCTTAAGGCGTCATTACAACATCCTAATCTATCTGAACTGCTCTCCAGTGCGCCGTAACGTCATAAAAAGTCGCCATTTTTCGTGTATTGTGTTTATTACTTTCCCATTTCAAATGCTCGGGAAACAGCCAAAAATTAAGCTAATACTTTGAAATTTAAAAAAAAAGACGACAGAATTGATTAGGGAATGGAATTAGGATAATTTCCATCCTTATCTCATGTATTGAAAACTTTTATTATGAATTAATTCTTATGTCTTCTCTAATATAACCTTGCTATTTTTACCGTGCGCCGTAAGACCGTACCTTGTGCACATTCAAGCAGAATAAAATCTTTATTTTTGAATATATATTATCAAAAACATTATGATTCACTTAAATATGATGAATAAACATTTACTGAAAATTTCAGCTTAGTACGCCCATTACTTTTCGAGAAAAACGCTTTGTCCACGATTTTATGGGACAACCCTCGTATTTATAGATTATAAAACTAAATAAAAGTTCAATAAATACTGCAGTATGTCAAAAGCTAAGGGTAACCCTGGTATTCATTCAAAAGAATTTTGTTCAATTATAAGGTATGGCTTTAGACCCTTCAGCCCCTGCATGGGTTTTTGTTTCCAGTTTTTATAGCTATAAAATGACTTGGAGTTGTAAAAGGGGTTTTTGAAGAAAAGTAACTTTCACCCCTATTCTCAATAGAACTTCATTTTTCATATTTATTTTTTTTTTATCTCTTGAAGAAGAAAAAAAATTAGAGCAAGTTATTAATTTAGTATATTGTTTTTCACAAGGATGAATCCAGGATATGTACTCTCATGTCATCCAGAACTTGTGAATTTTTTTCTCATTTTCCCATTTATTTTCCCATTTATAAATGTTTTTATTAAAAAAAAATAAATTAGACACTTTCACCTTGTTATGTTATTTTAAAAAGTTGTCCATATAATTTTGAAGCAATATGAGCAAAAATAAATTGATAACTAGAGCCGAGCTCGTTGCAAAGCAACGAGTAGGTCTTCCGTTGGATCTGTGGACAGGAAGTACCGACCTTGGGTCAATGTCACTGCACTTCTTTTTGTTAACAACCTTTTCTTCTCATCATGAGCCTCCAGTGAATCTTAATTACAAGGTTATGCTTAAACATTTTTTCTCTCTCAGTGACCTTGATTTGCCAGAAAGACCTTTGATCATGGTGACACGACGCAACCTCCAATCAAAAGTAATCTATGTTTCAAGAAAAAGCCTCCAATGATTTTCACTTACTAGTTCATAGCCTGGAAAAGAACAGATCTCTGCTGTCAGTGACTTTGATTTTAACAGAATAACCTTGGCTCTTTGTCAAGACAAACCCTCAATCTGAAACAACTTTTAGAAATTCATAACTCTGACAGGTGTTTTACAACTTTTCTGTCATTGGCCCTGAATTTGTTAAAATGACCTTATTTTAAGTCATCTCAAAACCGGCGGACTATAAGCAATTTGTATCAAGTATGAACTTAAACAAATAGAGTCAGAATGAAAAAAATACTATTTTCTGAGTCAAAATCGTAAAAAAAAACACCCTTTTTATCACAAGCAATCTCTGTATCAAGTGCGATCTTACATATATTCTCGATTACTGTACATATAAATGAATGCAACAAAACATTAATTCTTTCTCCAGTGATCTTGAACTTCCCGTAATATTGCCTCGAATAAATACAATGACACATCCTAGGATCATTTGAAATCTTTGTATCGAGTACAAGCTTCTGGTTTCTTTATGTTATAGCCTGGCCTTCTGGGAAAAACTTTTAGGGACAGACAGACATATGGACAGTTAAACAGACAGTTTCATCCCCGTCCAATCCACAATAACCCCCCAAAATACACAATCACTTTGCAAGGGAAAACTCTAGCCAGTCATGATTTGAAAAAAGTAATCTTTTTTATATCAGGAAGCTTTCATAAATATGGTTTCTCATACTTGCCCTGAAGTTCGTAAGAATAATATTTCAAAACGACCCCTTCTTTTTTTTAACTGACCGTTTTCTTCATTATTTTCATTTTATATTCCCCAAGGTTGCCCGCAGTGATTAGAGAGACTGCTCTATAGTCGCGAGGTAAGGATCAGCTCGATCCTTACGTCGTGGTTTCGAATCTCACTGTGGGACGTGGGGACCTGTTCTTCCGATGAGACCGTATAAAACAAGGTCCTGTGTCGCTTTAGGTGCTGGCACAAAAAAGATCCCTCCCTGCTCAAAGGCCCTAAGTGCCGATTATAAGACAATTAATGTTTAACTATGGTGCCGGTTATGATTTTAACAGTTTAAATTAGGAAATAAAAGTGTGTAATTACATGATAAATTTCTGATATTCAGTACGTGTAGCTCCAGATTGTTATATAAGTTCTTAAATTTTCGATTACGTACATACGATGCGGGTTTACTACTACTTACAAGTTTATTGTATAACCTGCTTCTGATATTTTTAGCACACTATACTAATCATTTCATGTTTGGAATAAATTATTACACAAATTAAATTCATTGCTTTAAAATCTTGAATTATTTTTTCAACTTGACTATTCAACCTGTAATAAAAATGGGCACTGTGCAAGCACAGAAGTCACTTATGAAGTTTACAGGTGCGGAGATACTTATCGATGTTTAGCCCATTTCATTGAGTATAATTCTAATTAGATCCTTATAATTCGGAATATTTTCTTTAAAAGTTTAAAACTGAAATAGCCATGGTAAAAATCTGTGGTGAAAAAAAAATGTGTTTGGGAAAATTTGTGTTGAAAACAGATTTATTTGTGTGTTAAAAGCACAAATTTAGCTTGTGCATTTAAATCAATATTGGTTGAAGTTAAGTAACCGCAGATCGCCAGTCCTTACGCTATGAATCGTCAAAATGAAAAGTAAAATTACACATTGAACTAACGAACTATAAAAATTGAAGATTGATTAATGTACATAAAATAAATACCCCAGCGATTTGTTCTAAAGTCTAACCTTAGATATTTTAAAATATTTTTGAAAGATTCGATTTACTTACAGAAAATAATGTTTTCCGTAAGTTTGTTAAATTGAACAATCGACCACGCTGTGTAAATTAATGTCAACAAGCGATGGAAGGAATGCTTGGTCGTGTAATTGTAAACAAACACAAAGCCCAGATAGCTGTTTTAGATAAACATGTATCACGATCAAATTTAAAACAAAGATAAGCCAACATATAAATCTCAAATATCCGACAATAATAATTTTCCATTAATTGTAAAATATTTTTAAAACACCAATTATTTTGTCTATGACTACGGGGTCAATGGTTCGCCGCAGTGTGTCGCTTTAGATTTTCTTGGACACGTGTAATCGTAAGATTTAGCAATGGTACACACGCTTAAAATCTGGGTTCCAGGTGAATGTGAGAATCGCGCGGTAAATAATGTTTGTATTATTTGACTCTTTAAGGTAATTCCACACTCCTATGATGTCATAGGTTTTTGCAAAATCCGTAATTAGTTTAAATTTGTACCTTATAGAGAAATATCTCTTGGAAGAATGCTTTACAATAGGTGTAATGATAAATATTGTTTAGTTAAAGAATTCAAAAAATGCATATTTTCTATATTTAATCAATTATTCAATCTTTAAATAATATTTACAAGGGCAATAACTCCTTCTAAGGTCTCTTCATTCAGGCATTTGCTTTTCTGTACAATAGTTTACTTGATATTAACAATTCAAAAGTATCTTTTAGGTAGGAAGTATTTAGGATCACTCAGCATCAGAATTATGCATATTAACCAGTTTTTACATATTTTTCTCAATACTTTTAACAAAAAATGTACAATTTTTTTATGTTGACATACAGTTCTGTTTATTTATGTTTTGCATCTTAAATAATATGGTGACCTATACATTTTTTGCAATAAATGGAAAGTTTTAAGTATATTGAATGAAAATATATGCAGTTTTTGTACTTTGAACCCATAAAATTGTGAGTGTGGAAATTCCTTCAAAGTTCTTTTTATGAGATCCGGGCGTTTATCGTTTTCGTTCATATTGTTTGTGTTCATATTTAAACGAAGAAAAGATACTAGCTCGTGCTTTTTCTACAACTCTTTCTCTTGGAAAGATCTTGATTAATAAAATGAAAGTGATGCCACTGAATACTCTGAACGGGAACCAAAGAACACGTTTAAAACCTAATTTTAAAAAGATATGATACAGCGTTGTAAAATATTTATTACTTACGGCAAGTTTACTGCAATTCTACGCATAGAGACTAAAGAGTTTTCCTTCAACATTGTTCAATAGCAAGATGAGAACTGTCTAGCTCTCTTTCGTATAATACGTCAGACTCGAACAAAATAATATTTTCAT